GTGGAAGAATCCGCCAGTTTTGGAGGAGACAAACGGTGGTGAAGATCAAGTTGGATCGGAGTGAAAATCTCAGGGTAAGTTCTCCACTCCCTTATCTTGATTTCGGAAGAAACCGCTTGTCATTTGGTTGAGTATTCTAGGAGTTATGGTCGTTTTACTGAGAGATGTTTCTGCAGCGTCGTTTCTGCGACCAGTCCACTTCAAAGGACGATTCCCGTCGTTCTGTAAGGACCCAGCGGACGAGTTAGATATCATTGGAAAGCTCTGAGTCTTAGCTTTCCACAGACACCGATTTCGGTTTATTCAGAGGTGACCTCCGTTCTATGTGTGCTTTTGAAGTTAGTGTGTCGTTCTGAAATATTTGTTCTCAGTTCTGATCATCGAGTTTGCGACCTAATTTTCCCGTCGAACTGCTTAGAGTTAGGTTACGTTCTATACACCTCTGTAAAGCTCTAGATGTCTAGTTTCTAGAACAGGTTTTATACYTTGATTTGGTTWAKAATTCGCTGAGTTATGGTCCTTTGAACTYGGGTAGTTCGTGCAGTTTTTCTGCAATTTCCTGCGGTTTCGTCCGGATTTGCTGTTTTCGGGGATGATTTCCCGGCGAATCGTTTGGAGTTAGGAGTTTTGCGATCCGGTGTTGGAAAGCTGTTGGTGTCTAGTTTCCAGAGAAGTTTTCCGATCGTGATTTGATGTAGTAAGTCGCGAGTTATTCTCTTCCGAAACAAGGTGAGTGCGTGACCATGGTTTTGCAGGTATTGGTGTGTTTGATTGCGAATTGAGTTGATTTGTTGTTCGATCAATGCTTGTTTGGGGCGTTTTTAGTATTTAGATCAACGTAAGTATCGTATTTTGTGGTTGATTTTGCGTTGACTTTTGTGGTTGACTTTGCGTTGACTTTTGTGGTTGACTTTGCGTTGACTATTCGGGGTTGACTTTTTGGGGTTAACTTTTCGTGTTGACTTTTTGCTTAATTGTGTTGTGTGGTGTTTTGATTGTTCCCTATACCCGTGCATCTAGCCAA